TCGAACAACGGCCCACTCGACTACCGGAGAGACACCATTCCGACTGACTTACGGTACCGAGGCGGTCATCCCAGTGGAAATCATGGAGCCATCCAGGAGAACTGAAAGGCCCCTCGACAAAGAGATAAACGACGAGGCCTTGAGAGATGAGCCCGACCTCGTTGAAGAAATCTGATCAGGATCAGCTCTGCGCGAGGCCACTCTAAAACAGCAGGTAACCCTACGCCATGATAACAAAGTTGTAAAACACGAATTCCAGGTCGGTAGCCTAGTCTTGTGGAGAAACCAGAAATATTCTCGTGAAGGGAAATTGGTCGCAAACTCGGAGGGACCTTATCGCATCCAGGGAGCTACGGGCACCAGAGCATATTATCTCGAGCAATTAAACGGAGAACCACTACCACGACTCTGGAGTGTTGGGAAGCTACAACAATATTATAGCTAAAGCCCCTCACCCGCTGGGGGACTTTCGCCGTTGAATGTTCACCTTCAGTCGACGAAGGGAAAAGCTCGACCACATAGGCGAGTCGAGGTACGGGACCAACCTACCAACCAACGAAGGCATAATGTTATTCACTTCGATGAGCAAAACACACATGCCCAATAGGGACACCTCGATCGAGCTCCACTGTCAAAGTACCCCAACATGGAAGAACACCCAACTCACGATGGGCAGTTCACACCACGAGTGTAGGATCCCAATCGCGATCATACACCCGTCACACAGATCCCCACTCTATGCCTTCGACATATTTCGAAGTGCGTCGAACCGACATTAAGGTTGAACGGATATCTCTATTCGAACACAAAATTCGTGAAAAATTCATAACCAAGATAGCGGTCCGGCACATACATCAAATATTATTATCAGATAACTAATATAAACAAAGCATTCATCGAGTAGACAATCATAAACAAAGATAAATAATATACCGACCACGAGGGCTGGCGTTGTCCAAAATTACAATTTAGGCACGACGGCCAAAAAACTAAAGGAATGAAAGAGGGCACGCAGGCCCCAAAACAACAGTGGACACGCAGGCCCAAATACGCCAATAAAAGCATTAATCACTCCCCAGAGTACCAACGTCGACGTCAAGAGAGTCAGGAGGAGGCACCACCCGGCCATCAACAACCTGGGACAAAACCCCAGTCCCTTCGATATTCAACCCCGGATTCAACACGGACAGTTGATTCACAACGGACTCAAAGCTATCGGCTAAAGCGTCAACATAATCCGACTCCAGAAGTTGAATTCGAGCGATGAAGTCAGCATGCGTGCGTAAGTCGGCCACCCCTTCAGGCTCGTCCTCCGTGGGCAGCATAACAACCCTCAGATCTTCGACCTCTCTCAACAGCCGTTGGTTGTCACTCTCCAACCGCTCCTTATCAAGTTGGAGGCAGTATTTGTCCTCAAGGGCTCTGTCGGCCCTCTCCTTCTCCCCCGACAGCACATCAGACTACTTCCGAAACATTTCCTCGGAGCATTCAAGAGTAGCCTTCAGTTTGCGGGTTTTCGCCACGAGAGCCGCCTTCTTCGACTCCAGCTCCTTGACCCGATCCAAGGAGTCTGACCCTTCGCCCGCAAGGACAACTGCCATCTCGGCCATTTTCACCACCCCGATCATGCTAGCAGCGAGGTGCTTCCTCCGACCATCCTTATCGAGCCGTCTGATGATATCGGCCTCGTTGTCGGATACGGTCAAGGGAAACCCCTCAAAGAAATCTTTTTCCACAAAACAGGGTGGCAAGCTGAAGACCCGGGCACCCGCCCCTCCATCGGTCACCTCGACTCCACCTTCTGGTTGACTCTGTTTCTTGCTAATCAAAGCAGATTGACGCTCGGTGTCATGGGAATCCAAGGACCCACTGGATCCTTCCCTGCCCGACTCGGGGGTCGGACCCATTCGCGTGGCTTGTTGCGGATTCACCAATATCTTGATGATCTTCTTATCTTGGGTCAGCGTCAGCAACCTCTCTCGATGTTCTTCCATGTGACCTACAAAGGAAATATACTTGGGTTAGCCACATCGAAGAAAACAAATAAAGAAGGCTATCAATAGAGTAAGCAAGAAACCTAAGAGCTCTACGACCTGCCTGTAAGACTGGCATTCGACGAGCGCCTTGGTGTTGATCGGACGTGCCTTGAACGTTGGCTCTCCATCCTCATCAAGAATGTCGTTCCATTCCCTCGTAACCCACCGAGCAGGGAAGAAACCATCGGCAAATTTGTTCAGGACTCCATAAACCTCCTCGTCCTCGGCGCTCATACTGCCAGCGGGAGTGTGGTAGTATCCAGGTCCATGGTCGTAATGGCCCGAACACCAGTGGATGGGAAACTTTGAGACTTTCCCAATCTCGGGATTACCCTCAGAATCCAAACACGGCTCCCCGTCCTCATCCACCACAACAGCCGGTTCGAACAGCGAATCCATGGCTGTCTGAGTAGACGGTTGCAAAATATACCACTTATCCTTGAAATCCCGAACAGAATCCATATACATCCTAAACAACCTCTTTGACTGCTTAAGGGACACCCAGCTATGCTTCCCTCCTCAGGATTACCGTTACAGGTGAAGAACCCTAAAGAACAGGGGAATCGTTGCCCCATTCCTCAGGAAGCGGCATGTGAGTTTGAATGTCCGGATAAAGGCAATAACGTTAGGATGAATCTGGGAGGGAGCCAGGTTCAAGTGATTGAACACTCACATCTGGAAGTCGTTGAAAGGTAGCCGGAGCCCCAGATCTTTAAATACGATCTCGTATATAGGGAAGACGTCCTTAGTAAACTTCGAGAAAATACGGGCGTCCCTTGTCGGCCTCATGATCTTAAAATTTCTCTAAACCCCTCCTGGCCGCCGCAGTACTCGACGACAGTGTAAGCTTTCCTGCCGGTATAGCTATAGATCGAAGCTATCCCCCGGGGTTCCGCACCAACCCAATCTAGAGTAGGGTCGTCGACGGTGTCGACCAAATTCATGCTTTCCTTGGCAGTGCTGGTTTCCTTGGTGTCAATATGATCCAAGGACTCGGGAATATCAGCCATTTACCTACAAAGTACGGGAAACCAGTGAATTCGACAGCAAATTTGCTTTTCCACGACACAGATGGGGAGAAGTAAGCAACACTCAGACCGAGTCAACGACCATTCGCATGAAAGAGGGGGAACACGTGGACCTCTATTGAACACCGACCTTAACGGAGGACGTATATATCAATCATAAATATCACGCGCACAATAAGAATGCCGCGAGCAAAGGATGAATTTCATGACCAAGTTCATAACATTGCTAGCCAAATACAAGAATACCATCGGGAAAACTAGCCTACATACTAACGAAAGGATGAATCTCCCGACCAAGTTCATAAATCTATTAGCCAAGCGCATGAATATCAGTGGCACGATCATAAACCGTATGCCTAAACGTATGAACATCGCGGACATGATCATGAATCAGGCGCCTAAAGCGCTTGAATTCCCCGGGCATAATCCCCAGACACGAAATTCTACCACTAAATAACCATCAAAATCTATCTACAACACAAGATAGCAAAGAAAAAGAATGCTTACTTGGAGGAAAAGTGAGGAGCGACAGTTGTGGAGATAAGTACACGACGGACTGCGTGGCGATCTCAGTGACACTAGGAAAACGTGCGGTGTTGACGGCAGAGAAAATATGAGAGCGTGAAAATGTGAAAACAAGTTATGGGCCCTAAAGCCCTATTTATAGAGATGACGTGGAATGTGAAACGTCGCATCGGGAAATCACAAACCGCCTTTATCCTCGACACCTACTCGCATAGATAATGATGGCCCCTACTCCCTAGGCTGCCATTCTAGTTTCCAAGAGCCACGCCACGTGTCTGACTAGTGTATCATCCTCTCCCTGCGAGTACTCCTTCAACACTATTCGACCGCTGCACGAAGCAAATCATGAACCAAGCGACGTCTTCCTTCCACCGTAGAAAAACCCTGTATCGCGCAGCGAGTATCGCGAAAGGGCGAACTTGAATCAAGTCATAACTCTTTCTCCAGGAGCAACGACTTGGGGGGCTCCTGTTCTAGACTGGGCCTGCCCTTGGCCCAACTACCAATGAGGCCCAATACAAGCTCGCCAACCTGCTGCGCTGAGCAGTATTTCCACCAAGCAAATCCCGACCATAGATGTCTTGTTGACCAAGACTGCTTCCCGTTGGTGCTCGCAGAGACCGTCCCTGACGAGCACGCACTCCTCCCATACACCTTCCTCGTAGGGCTGACTTCCAACCTCTCCAGATTTCGCGGAGTCTTCATTGTCCCGAAAAGATCGCGTCCCTATCCTCCCTGTCTTGCGGGTCCCCACTACACACGTAGAACCTGACAGTCTCTTTGTTGGGCCTGTTTGATCAGTCCAATAAAGAGACCTTGGCCCAACACTGGGAGCTATAAATACCCTCTCTTTTGAGAGGGTCAGATATAGAACTCATATCTCAGAACTCTTACTTGCTTGCTCATTTTGCTTCTTACTTTGCCATCGGAGTGTCTTGCAGGTACCTCCCGCCCCATCTCACTTAACTTCTGCCCGAGTCAGTTGTGACGATCCATCTCTAATCAGGTAAGATCAATAAATAAATAATATAAAATAAATGCGTTATATTTTCAAGTGTGTTCTTCTTATTCTTTATCAATATTTATGAGCTATTTATTAATATGTAAAATATAATGAGTTATATGGATTTTTTTTATTGAAATTGTATAGTTATTAGGAGGTATATTTGTAATAATGACAACGTAAGTAGTTGAATTTAAACAATATAATATAATATAATATAATATAATATAATATAATATAATATAATATAATATAATATAATATAATATAATATAATATAATATAATATAATATAATATAAATTTATTAAAAATTTGAATGTACTTAATTTAAATGAGATTTAAATCATTTTAATATGATTATTTTTGTAACAAAATAGAGTGACATAGAGCGAAGAAGAGAGGATTCATGGACATGCAGATTAAGTGGGATGTTTCTACGATGGAGAATAGGGAGAAGAAGGGTAAATGGGAAAAGATTTCCTCATTTTATTTTTCTGAAATTCCTGATTTCACTAAGGCGGGTGATATCTTACAACTCTTTGGGTGCATAGGCGAAGTGATTGAGGTGGTTATTCCACCTAGAAGGAATAAAGTTGGGAAAAAGTTTGGGTTTGCTAGATTTCAAAAAGTGGAAGATGAGAAGGTGTTCGTTGTTAAACTTGACAATGTTATGATTGAAGGGAGGAAGATCCACGCTAATCTACCTAGGTTTGATCGGAAGGCTGAAGGTTCGAGGAGTGAGGATGTCAAAAGGGGAAAGTTTAGGGTTCTGGAAAAGACTGTAGGTGGGGTGAAAGGGGCCATAGTTGGTGGTTCGGTGTACAGGGAGGGTAATAGGTCATTTGTAGACATGGTATCTAACAAGACTCGCAATGTATCAGGCGGTCAGGGAGATGAGAAGTCCCGCAGTTTTAATTTTTCTTCGAGTCCTGAAGATTTGAATAGATTGAGAAATGCATTTGTGGGGGTGGTTCTGGAATCAGGTATGACTTATAATGTTCAAAATAGCTTTGAGATCGAAGGCTATTTTTCCATTAAAGTGATGCCTCTGGGGGCGAGTCTGTGTTTGTTAGAGGAGGTTGAAGAAGGCGCTATTATTGATCTTATTAAGGAGGGTAAGAGTTAGTGGTCTCAATGGTTTTCAACAATTAGGTGGTGGAGTGAAGAAGATGTTGATAATGATAGAGTTGCTTGGTTAAGGGTGTACGACATTCCTTGTCATGCGTGGAAAATTTCTTTCTTTGAAAAGTTGGCAAATAAGGTTGGTAGATACGTCTGTTGTGAAGAGAGCATGCTGAATTCAGTCAACATGGACATTGCGAGGATCTTGATTAGAACTCTGCACGATAAAGTTCTTGATGATTTCATGAAGGTTAAGATTGATGAATCTGTGTACACGATCAGATTGGTGGAAGATTCTTATGGCCCTTTGAGGATCAATCTAGTGAAGAAATGGGGGAGATTGGTGTCTTCTGATGAATCATTGGAATCTAAGTTTGGTTGGAGTAATCAGGGGGAGGAGAATTCGGTTGATGCTGATAATAATCAGGTATCTGTTATGTTAGGGAATGGTATCAATTTAGGCAAGGGGCACAACAGTAACAGTGACGTTTTCTCTAATCCAAAATCTCAGGATTGTAAAGAAGCAAAGAAATTTTCCAGGCACTGTAAGGCGGGTAAAGGGAAGGGGGATGATTTTTTCAATGAAGCTCTTGTAGAGGTTAGTGAGGAGGGATTAGATGTTAAGGTTGAAGGCGTGAAATTTCAACCATCAATTTTATTTCCTGAAGTTTCTATTATAGAAGAATTCAATTTTGTTGATACTTTCTTCAAAAATCAATCTAAGAAAACCAATGCCAAAATACCTCTGATTACTAAGAGGGTCACTAAGATGAAGAACATTTATGAGGTAGGAGGAGCGAAGTCTTTGAAGAATAAGAGGTGGAAGAAGATAATTCAGAAAGATGTCTCAGACCCGATTTCATGTTTCAATGATTCTGTGAACCATATTCAGAGGGTTTGTAACAATCATGTTGTTTCTTTGATCTCTATTTCTGCTGCTTCAGGTTCAACGAAGGGGTTTTCTGCAGGGACTTCTCTTTGTGGAGGTAGCTTGACTAATGGTGATATGACAATTTTCAAATTCAGATTTAATGAGCAACTTGAATCTAATGTTGGTGGAAAGCTTTGGTCAGCCATATCTAAACTTGGTGTCATTCCTTAGGGTGCTGAGGTGAGTGTACAGAATAAGATAGTGGAGTTGGAGAATGCAGATAAAGCTAGGAGGTAGAGTATAAAGGCGCAATTAAATTTGGTCCCATGATAATTGGTGCCTTAAATATTAGGGGGTGGCAGTTTGTTGAAGATAAAAAAGATTAATCACATTATTAAAAAAGGTAAAGCGAATATTTTCATGATCCAGGAGTTAAAATTAGGAGAAGTGAATAATATTATGGTTAAAAGTTTTTGGAATGTTGATAATTTTGGATGGTCCTTTTCAAAATCCAGGGGAGCTTTGGGAGGTTTAATAACTTTATGGAAGGAGGATATTTGTGAGGTTCTTCAAAGTTTTAGTGGAGATGGCTTTCTTGGTATCAAATTATGCTGGAAGGGAAAGTTGTATTATATAGTTAATGTTTATGCGCCCTTTGTTTTGAGCTTGAAGAGAAAGTTGTGGAGTGATCTTGTTCAGTTAAGAACCAAGTATAATGATGGCGAGTGGATTAGGGGTGGCGATTTTAATTCTATGAAAAATGATAGGGAAAGGAAAGGTAGGTGTTTGGCCAGATATTCTAAAATGAGGTATTTTTCCTCATTTATCTCAAACTGCAATTTAATTGACATTCCTTATAGAGGGAACCTTTTTAGGTTGCATAGTGGAGATGGTAGATCTATGGGGGAGGTTGGATCATTTTTTGATGGATGATTATTTAATCAGTAGATGGGGAATTATTTGTCAGTTGATTGGAGAAAAAGACATTTCCGATCATAGTCCTATATGGCTCGTTATTAACAACGTGGATTGGGGCCCTAAATCGTTTATGGTCAATAACTGTTGGTTCGAAAACAAGGGGTTTGTTCCTTTTATGGAGAGAGTGGAGGAATTTGAAGGTAGAAGGTCGAGTTGACTTCTTCCTAAAATAGAAGCTTAGATTACTTAAACCTATTCTCAGGAAGTGGAACTTAGAGGTGTTTAGTAAAATTGATTCGGAGATTTAGGAAGGGAATAATATTTTGAATGAAGCATATTTGTTGTTGGCTTCTTGTCGCGAGGATCAGGTGGAAGGGGTGGTAGCTAGAAGGAGTGTGGCTACAACTTCTATGTGAACTTGTATGAGGATTAAAGAGAATATGATTCTTCAAAAGTCGAGGCTGAAATGGGATTGTGAAATGGGCTATAATACTAAGTATTTTCATAGTATGTTGAAGGCTAGAAGGAGGGGTAATCTCATTAGTCATATTGATTCGGGTGAAGAAGTGGTGGAGTCGGTGGGGGAGGTTAGGAAAGTCGTTTAAGAGAATTTTTCTAAGAATTTTGAGGAACCTGAACCTAATCGACCTCTGTTAGACGAAATTCTGTTAGCTTGCATTTATTTGGATGATCGGACTTTTCTGGAATCTCCTTTTTCAGAAGAGGAAATTGGGGAGGTTGTTTGGCCATGTGGGGCTTCTAAGAGTCTCGGACCTGACGTGTAAAATTTCTTTTTTATTCGTAGGTGTTGGGATTTTTTCAAGTTTGATTTTTTCAAGTTCTTTTGTGAGTTTCATGGTAGATGAATGATGTCCAAGGCCATATCTTCGGCTGTCATTTCCTTGATTCCTAAAAATTACAATCCTCGAGTTCTTGATTAATACAAGCCTATTTGTTTGGTGGGTGCATTTATAAGGCCCTCTCTAAACTTCTAGCGGCGATATTAAAGATGGTTTTGGATGGTGTCATATCTAGCAATCAAAGTGCATTCGTGCCAGGGAGGTTCATGTTGGATGGAGTAGTGGCTGCCAATGAAGTGGTGAATTACGCTAACAAATATAAGAAGGGTTGCATGCTTTTCAAAGTGGATTCGAGAAGGCGTATGACAAGGTGTGTTGGAATTTCCTTAGGTATATGTTAATTAGGATTGGGTTCGGAGAGGTTGGGTTAAGTGGATGGAAGCAACCGTTTTTTATAGTTGGATGTCAGTGCTTGTCAATGGGAGCCTGCTGAAGCGATAAAGCGGCAAGCAAAAGTAATTATTTTTATAGGTTATATCATATTGTCTCCACAAGGATTAGTGCTATTGAATTTTCGTTCGACAATTTCTTGTGTTAATGAGTTTGGTTTAAATGGGATGAAGATAAATATGGGAATTAAAACCTATGAGAAGAAAAAGAATTCATTCTTTAAAGAAGAGAATTATCAAGCATGCATATAATCCACTCCTCGCAAACTTAAACCTATCGATCAATTATACTTAACCTACAAGACTCATCAATATCGTCATGTATCAACCACAACACGCATTGTATCATATCGAAGGCGATCTCTTAACCAACCTCAAAAGCACAGAAGTCAATCTTGTTACTCGTGTCGATGATCTCTCAACACGATACAACAAACACATAGGCATTAAGCATAGACACCCAAGTGATTACTAGCTCTAAATATATCTCTAGAATCTAGACACTATTAGATAATCATCCTAGATAAGAATTCAAGCAGTATATGTCTATAGCAACCCAAACCTCAAGCACAAAGCAAAAATCTAGGATAACAATCGACAACAATTTGTAAAGCAAGCTTTATACAACGCCATGGGCAATAAATATACACGAGTTCAAAGTAAATACATATAAAAAATCCAACAAATGAAGAATACACAAAGAAGAAGAGAAATGAACCACGAATTTCCCGATTTGTCAGCATGGATCAATGAGAAATCCACCTCGGATCATCCGTATGCAAGCTTCATAGTTATTTTCTAAGATAATCTACCAGAAAAATTAGTTTGATGGTGTTGGGACTCAAAATAGGGCACTTGGCGCACTCTATGTTGTCATGAAAAAATCAGCACTTATTTTCGCCTTAACTTAAGAATCGTAACTCCGATTTACACACAGTCGGAAGTATTGGAAAGCTTTTTCAATGCTCTATATAACAATGACTAAATAAAATTTCTTAATACCTACAAAAATGAGATAAAAATGATTAAAATCAATGATATTTACACGATAATACACTATATACACTATAATGTAAACTATACCGAATATACACTGAAGTTAAGGTTTATTGGCGAAAAGTAAATGAATTAAGCTGATGAGTGATAATTATTCACACTCAAATTCACAACAATTTAGCACTCATCTAAATCTCCCCAACTTAGACATGTTTGTCCCTAAACAAGAATTAACCAACTCAAAGAAACAAAAGCAAAAATCGAAGAATCACAAATCAACAGGTTTTGAAAACGGAAAACAAATGTATGGTTCAAAAAAAATGCACAAGAAAATAAAACACTTACCACTAAACTACAACAATAGAATGAAAATGAAATATCTCCTAAATACAAAAAACATGTCAAAGATTCTATACAATGTTCAAAAATGAATTACAACTAGCACACAATTCAACGGTAGATGAATAACAAAAACAATGGGTGCTTTTACTCTCACCCAACAATCAATTTAACAACAAGTTAAATTATGTATTCATCCAAAAATTCAAATTGAAAATATAAAAGAAAGAATCACTAGGGCTTTCAAGGTTGTAATGTGGCTTGGTTAACAAACAAAGGACAATATTTAAAGCTAATTGAAACAAAAACTTTCCTAAATCTAAGGGAGTTATCAATTCACCAAAGACTCAAGCAACACAATTTCAATCAAACTTCTTCCACATTCCTAATTTATCACGCCAAAACACCATACTTATTAACACAACATTATTCCATAGAAATCATTTTTTTCTCATTTTTATCTTTCTAATTTTTTTCTTTCTTTTTCTTTTCTTTTTCTTTTCATAACCTCATAGAAATCACAACATAAGCATATAAACATGCCACTTCCCAACTTGAATTCAACCATATCATAATGTGAATATTCCATACTTTCTAAGGCAAGGTAAAAATTCAAACTATAAATCATAGTTTAGGGTTCAAGAAAACAAAGAATTAATATCCATACAAAAAGATGAACTAAACACTCATAGACAAGCATTTGAAAAAAAACAACATGGATATCGACAAAAAGGCTCAAAGGGGTTACTAATGATGACACACTCACAAGGTGAATTGACTATTTGACCAAGGTAGTTGTGCTCAAAATGAAACAAAATGCCTTGACCAATTTCTTGCTTTCATACAATCAACACAAATAACAAAGTAAGCATAATAAAACCGAGTTACCAAGAAAGTTGGTCTCCTGCATATAATAAACAATGGAAGAAACCTCACAAAAAGGGTTTTGTCCTAAAGTGATTCAAGAATTAACAAGTATGACAAAAAAATAAATGACATAAACCTTTGTACAATTTTCTCTCTAAACATGTTATGTTCTAGAAAGCGATAAACGAGTACCTTGCGAGTACCAACTTCAAACAATATCATTATCATGCATCAGCAAATTGAAACAGTCAAACTTGGAAAATCACCTCAAAATTCCTCAAGATATTTGACCAAAATTGGAGTCAAAACAACTAACAAAATAATTAATAAATTCTACTATGTACTAAAAACCTGGGTGAAAGTAGATAAACAAATTGAAAAGTGAATATTGGAAATTTCAAAGCTGGTCCTATTTAAATTTGTTTAGTCAATTTCACTACACTACCTATACTAAACAACATTGCAAAATAATATAACATGCTTGTTTTGCGTCGTTATCTTGACGCCTGTTATTTATACACATTCCTCCAAGTTGCCTCTTTACACGGTTAGTGCTCACCGACGGTGAACCTAACCAAACACTTAACAAACGTGAAGAGAAACAAACATATACACTATATTCACATGTATCGAAAACCTGTACAAGTATGGTAAACATAAATAAATAAATGCACAAGTATAAATATACAAGTCTAATTACACAATATACACAATATGAACATTATGTGCAAAGCTCAAAAATAGATAAACTATCGCAATGCGATCCAATAAAAACACCAATCCCCGACAACG